CGACCGCTCCAGGAGCAGCAATTGACAAGGAAGCAATTATGAAATTTTGATGTTCAAAATGGGGGGGGTGTGCAGAGCTGGAGCCGAGCGACTCCCCGCTGCGCCAACGCCGCCGAGGGCCTCTGAAGAGCTCTCTAGCCGGGCGGGGGTCGTCCCGGCTGCCCCCACCGTCATTAAAGGCCCCTCTCCAACACTCGAGGAGATTTTCGGAGCGCGAGCAGGGCCGAGCACATTAAAAACACAGGGCGATTGAAATGGGCGCATTGAGATGCGCGGAGCCGGCTGCGGCGCGGACTCGCTCTTGAGGTCAAGTGACGGACGGATGGTGTGCTTCTTCATAATAATATTAATTAAACAATTTGCATGCTAATAAGGTAACAATTATCAGGGCCTCTGTTGAAAGATTCAGGTTATTACAACACGCCAATCTGAAGGCCAGGGGTCAGAGAGTGAGAGGCGAGCGAAATTTCAACTCAAATTAACATTCTGTCAGCTCCAGAAAATGGGATAAATAAAGTCGAATTAATTCATTATAATAAAGAGAGATGGGCGCGAAGCTGGGCCGGCGCCCGCCCCTCCTCTGCCCCCCGCTTCGGGCCGAATTGATCACAGCTCTGTATTCAGAAGCACGCGCCGCGTGCATTCTTGCTCGCAAGCCGGACAGAAAACCAGGCGGTCGTGGCTACTGGCAAGATCGAGCCGGATGCACAGAGTTTACGTTTAGTATTTATAGAGAAAGAAATTAAATTATGGCGAAAAGTAGTGCTCTTGGCCCCTGACCTCAGAATTAACACTTGCAACATCCTCAGTGCAAAACTAGGAAAAGGGGTCCCCACTTTCCGGGCTGCCTCCAGGCTCCAGGATATTTCAGGGCTGTCCCTAGTTCTGCACCCTCCCCTCTTCTCCAGCGGGAGACAGCGGTTAAATTAAATGGAAATCCGCCAGCCCAGCACCCCAACGGGGCCAGCAGATTAAGACCTGGCCGGGCTGTCCTCCAGCAGTAGAAGGACACACGGTGGTTTGGGGGCAAAGATGGCCCGAGTGGGGGACCTCTTCTCCTCACCCCAGCTGCAGGGCTTCCATGTACCCCTCCCAGGCAGACACAGGGATAGGCACACAAGCCCAGAGCACAGAGTTCTGGCCTTCCCTTCCCTCTTCCTTCTCTTCTGGGGACTCGGGGGCCTGGCCCAAGTCACTTATGCCAAAAGCCAATTTGTCTGTTGCTTTGCCCTGGGGCATGAAGCTACTGGCCAGGGGCTGTCTTCCTCTTACTGAAGCCAGGCAGGGCTGAGGGAGTTGCTGGAGAGGGTCATGAATTTGGAGCCAGTATGGTGCTATCTCCCCAGTGACAAACTTATATACATTTGTTTGTAAATGTATATATGTATAAGTGTACCTCCTGATCTCCTTCCTCTCTGCCCAGTCCCAATTCTCTGCTTATTTAAGAATATGTCCTTTAATGATTTAGCTTTGAGTCTATCAATATTTTATAGTGGAGAAGGGAGTGACATTGCACTGAGAACATAATTTAATTATAATAAATGGGCTGGGTACCTCAGCCCCATTCTTCAGAAGCTGAGTCAAAGGGAGATGTATTTATTTTTTAATTCATGTGTAGGGACTATGAAAGGCCATCACCCCAAAGTTACTTTTCCCTTCCTCCTTCTATTCTTCCCTCCTCTGCCCTGCAGGCTGGGGGACCTATGAGGGTGGGGGTAAGGTGGGGTCAGTGCGCCCCCTTAATGCAACCCCATCCCTGCCTTTAATGGTAAACTGCCAATCAATCAAAGAGGGCATTAATTACACCTCCTTATTGACTGGGCCACATTCTGCCAGCCACTCTCTTTTCGAAGCGCCTTACTCCCCTTCCTCCTCCTCCTCTCCCGCCTCCTCTTCTTCCTCCTCCCCCTCCTCCTCCGCCTCCTTCTCCTCCTCTCTCCTTCTTCCTCTCGCCCGCCGCCTGGAGTCAGAGAGGAGGCGATGAGAAGCCCTTGTAGTTTTAAATTCAATGTGACAGTTTCGGAAAGAGCGGATGATGAATCTCCTATTATTGGATCAGTCTATTTGCCGCTCAATGTCTCTCTGTAATTGGAGCAACATCACTTTAAAGGTTCACAGAGTACAGCATTTCTGGTGAAAAATCCCCACAACACGCCGGTGAATGTTTTAAAGGGAAATCTATTAGTGATTTGCGGAAGGGCGGGA